GGAGGCTGCGAGCCTCGGGCACACTCGCTCGCTAGCTCGGCGCACGGAGGAACCTGTCCCTGATCCGCGCCAGCCGAGCCAGCCGGGCGCCGTGCTCGGTCCGCTCGCCGCGCCGGAGAAAGCTGTCCGAGACGGAGCCAGCCCGCCGGCGCCGAGCCGCCCAGCGCCCGGCCGCGGAGTCCCGGAGTGCGGCGCTGCGAGTCCCCGGCGGCAGCAGCGGGATCCGAGCGCCAGGAGAGGGCGGACGGGGGACAAGGAGGCTCCGGGGAGCGACGAGCAGACTCGGAGGAGGAGGCGGCGCGAGGACAGCGGGGCCTCCTGCCGCCGCCGAGTCGGGGCGAGCAGCCTATGCGGGGAGCCCCAGCGGGGAGCCGCGGTCAGAGGAGGGGGCGCCGGCAGCCCCCGCACTGAGCTAGCAGCTTGCGCCCCGGGAGGGCGAGAGCGCGCCGACCCGCCGGGGCCCCGCCGCCGCCGCGCCGCCCTCCCCCGCGCTGTCAGCCCAGCCAGGCGCAGCCGCCGCCGCAGCATCTTCTGCCCTGCGCCCCCGCCAGCCCGAGGAAGTCCCGCCGAGGGCCCCCGGGAGCGCAGGAGGCAAGACCAGACTCCTTTCGAATACCCAGATGCGGAGGATTGGAGCCATCGAGCCAAAGCTTTCTGTGGATTAAAAAAATACACGATTTTTTTTTTCCTGGCAGAAGAAAAGGAGAGGAAGACCAGCAGGGCTCTGCAAGGAAAGAAGGGGGGATGTAACTCGTGGATACGATTTTTCACCCCTTCAAACATCTTGTTCTACTTTGTAAACATTTTTATTTCAACCTCAACTCTAACCGGACGCCCCTAGACGTGGGGTGCGAGGAGGTGTTTTGCATTTTTTTGGTTCTTAGCTTTTTAAGAGAGCCTCATTTCGCCAGACATCTCATGCGGGGTGAAGTCCACTCGGCCCCCTCCTCTGAGTCTTCGTGTGCACGGAATTCGAGGAGATCCGGTTACTAAGGATATAGAGGGAAAAAAATAAATCCCGTGCCTGCCTTTTTTTTTTAATTGCCTGCTTTTCCCCACCCCCAAATTAAGTTGCTTAGCAAGGGGCAAAGAGCCTCTTTCCTCCCTCCAACAGCACAGCCTTTCGGTTTTTTTGCCCCTGTGGATATTCCATGTAGGAAGCCGAGGCTGGCGAGCTCGACACTCGGGAGTCGCTTTGTGGGGGCCTCTTTTTCGGGAGGCGCCGACGAGAGCAAGCTCGGTCGCCCCCAGGGAAGCGGCGACCGCGTTCCTCCGGGGCGCGCCGGGGCCCCAGAGCCGCGCAGGGCGCGGGCCGCGCGGGGTGGGGCAGCCGGAGCGCAGGCCCCCGAGCCCCGGCAGGAGCCCCCGGGCCCCCGCGCGCGCCTCGGCCTCCGGGAGACTGGCGCATGCCACAGAGCGCCCCTCGGGCCGCCTCCGCTCGTGCCCGGGCCCCTGCTGCTGCTGTTGTCGCCTGCGCCTGCTGCCCCAACTCGGCGCCCGACTTCTTCATGGTGTGCGGAGGTCATGTTCGCTCCTTAGCCGGCAAACGACTTTTCTCCTCGCCTCCTCTCCCCGCATGTTCAGGACCAAACGATCTGCGCTCGTCCGGCGTCTCTGGAGGAGCCGTGCGCCCGGCGGCGAGGACGAGGAGGAGGGCGCGGGGGGAGGCGGCAGCGGCGGAGGAGAGCCGCGGGGGGAAGGGGCGACGGACAGCCGAGCGCATGGGGCTGGCGGCGCGGGCAGGGCTGGCTGCTGCATGGGCAAGGCGGTCAGAGGTGCCAAAGGTCACCACCACCCCCATCCCCCCGCCGCGGGCGCCGGCCCGACCGCGGGCGCCGAGGCGGATCTGAAGGCGCTCACGCACTCGGTGCTTAAGAAACTGAAGGAGCGGCAGCTGGAGCTGTTGCTTCAGGCCGTGGAGTCCCGCGGCGGGACCCGCACCGCGTGCCTCCTGCTGCCCGGCCGCCTGGACTGCAGGCTGGGCCCGGGGGCGCCCGGCGGCCCGCAGCCCGCGCAGCCGCCCTCGGCCTACTCGCTCCCCCTCCTGCTGTGCAAAGTGTTCAGGTGGCCGGATCTCAGGCATTCCTCGGAAGTCAAGAGGCTGTGTTGCTGTGAATCTTACGGGAAGATCAACCCCGAGTTGGTGTGCTGCAACCCCCATCACCTTAGCCGACTCTGCGAACTAGGTAAGAAGTTCTGCGACCACCCTCTCCAGCCTTGCGCGCAGAGCCCCCCTGCTCCGCGTGCTTATGCCGCTACCTCTTCTGGGGGAAAGTGTGCTTTCCGTCCTGGGAGAAGAGTGGAGGAAAAGGCAGAGGAGGGAGAGAATCAGTCCTTGGGGCTTCCCTTCCAGGTTCTTGCCCTGAGGGGGTCTTTGACATTGCATTTGCAAGCCACCTTAACAGACATGCAGGTAGAAGACGGGCACCCCCACTTTTGCACCAATAAGGGGGTGCAGAGAAAAGGGGCGGTCCCGCCTCTCCTGTACCCGGAAAGGCATTGAGGTGTGTGGCTGAGTCGGGTTCCGTCCAAGCCCGCCAAGGAAGGCAAGAACGAGCATTTGTAAAGGCTGCGAGGTCTCCTCTCCTTTAGTAAATAAGGAGAGCTACGACGAGCGCATGGGGCCCGCCATTCGGTCTGGGGTGCTAGGCTGTGTGGGGCAGTGACGGTTGGAAGGCCTCACCTCAACTCTGCCAGTCCCAGGCTGAAAGAGAGCAGACAAAGTGGGGGCTCCCTGATTTTTGCTTTCTTCCCGGAATAGAACATTTTAGACCGACTGTAGACTTGTTTGCCCCAGAGTTTTGGGGACGTTGTTGCCCTTTGCAGTACCAGGGCCTGGGCTGTTCAACTCAGACCCTTCATCCTCCCGGCCTCCTTCTCCCACCGCCCGGTTCACGATGTGGTAGCGTTGCATACGTCCACCCCCGGCAGGCTCACATCCACCCCCACCTCTCAAGTTCATCCGGATACTTTTGGGGCTCCCCTCCCGGGTGGGCTGGGCTAGAGGAAGCCAGTGCCTCCGGCGGAGCGGGATTGCGCCCAGGGGGCGGCGGGGGTGCCCGGAGGACGCCTGGGCGCACGCCCCTGCCCTTGACCCGTGCGGTGCGCGGTCGGGCCGAGCTGGGTCCGGACCGGTGCTTTCCAGGCGGGTTGGTCGAGCGCGGCGGCGGCCGCAGACGTGGAGGAGCGCAGCGCCGCGGCTGGCGCCAGGCGGCCTCTTTTGTTTATCTGACAGCTAAATATCAAGGCAATCACCGCCTCGCGGCCCTGCCTCCAACCCCCACAGCTAAGACAAACAGTTGGGCTCAAAGAATGCCTCTGTTATCATAAGTTTCTATCTCTCTCTCATGGCTCGGCCTTTATTTTCTCTTACTTTTTAAATTCCAGAGTCTCCCCCTCCTCCTTACTCCAGATATCCGATGGATTTTCTCAAACCAACTGGTGAGTAGTTGTTTTTAAAAATATCTCTTCCCTATCCCCCCCTTTCCCGCGCCCCCAGCCTAGACCCAGAGTGTCCAGAATCCCGGGCGGGCAGCGGGCTGGACAGCTTTTTCTATGTGTTTTCTTGGAAGTTCGACAGATTTTTCTCTGAGTTTTGGTTGGAATTGGATTTTGTTTTAAACCAAAGATGTCTCTGAGATGTGCTTTGCATTTTGTCCCTTCATGTGCTTGCACTCCATGACCGAAATTGCCCCAGCCTTAGCAGTGGGAGCTTTGATCCACGCACCCAGGACAGGGGAGCCAAAGAGGCCAGGCTGATGGGAAAGTGTTCATACTTGTCTGGGAGTGCCAGGAGAGGCAGTGGGAAAGAGTGGCTAATGGGTGGAAAGGGAGGACTTACGAGCCATTGAGAGCTGAGGCAACTGAACGCCTAGTAGCTCTTGTTTCCTGCAAGCCACCATTCTCCGGAGTTCTCTGAATTCTTGCTTGGGGTCGTGAAAGTTTTCAGCAGCCTGCCTGTTGCTTTGTTAGGGATGCCAGGGCACAAGCCAGTAGAAGCTGGCTCCAGCCCTGCTGCGGTCCGGTTGTCTGCATTCAACTTTTGGCTGCAAGAGCAGGGCCTCACCCAGTGGATTTAACAGGAGGTGGGGGAGTGGGGGAGGGGCTCAGCAAAAGTGAGCAGCTCAAGAGAAAAGGAGCCCCAGTTTCCAAGATCCCCTTCTGACCCTGAGAGATGCCTTGTCCCAAAGTAGTAAGTAAGCCTTGCAACTTTTGCCGATTTGCTAAAGAATGGTGCTGGCGGGTGGTGGCACTTTTTATTTATTTTTGCCAAAGTTCTGGGAGAAGAAGTGGACGGTTGGGCACCATTTGGCTCCAGGAATTGTACAAGTCCTTCCGCCTCCTGGGTTTTGACTGTTGGGCCTTTCCCCTCCACTAATTAAAAGTTTTGCTGGGGCGTTGTCATAAATTAAATACTTTAATGAACAGTGTAACCGAAGCCCTGTGCTGAGCCTAGCCTCCCAGGACTGCCCCCCCTCCCCTTCAGGTAGAGAGGGTGATCCTGCCTGCCCCACTGCCTGCTAATAATTGGCCTGCAAAACATGTGATGTTTTGCTTTTAGTTTACAAAACAGCAGATAAATGGTCATTAATAAGAAGCTAACCAGATCTCCTTGCGGGAATGCACTCCAGCAACAATGCCCAAGTTCTCATTTCTCAGAGCTTCACTTGACTGAGCTTTTGGGCTTAAATAAGAAGCTGGAGAGGTTTTCAAGAGGTTAGTCCTCCAAGGACCCAGCTCTAGCTCTGCCCTCTTTTTGGTTTTTCCGTCCTTGGACAAATTCAAGAGTTCTCCTTCAGAGAATAATAGAGAAAGAGGTCTCTTGGCTTTGGAATCCCCTCAAGCTATAGACAGGAAGGACCACGCTGTCTCGGGTTTCCTGCAAAGGTAGATGCTGGGCTAAATCTATTAGCAGGATTTCAGCAGTCATTCTGCCAGGCCAGGACCTCATTTTCGGAGAGTAGAGTGATATATTTATTCATTAGCAAGTGTTGACATTAGGTAGCAAAATGTGTGTAAACAGAGAAGCCACAAAGACAGGAATGTGCCATTTCCAGGGGGGGAAACAAGTCCTCCTGTTCAACCAATAGGAAGTGATTAACCTGTCAAGCGGAAACTCAGACAGCTGGTTACTCACCCAAAACATTTTGTTTGAAACAAAAAAAAAAGAGGGGGGGTGCGGGGGGAAGACCCTGTTGTGTAAAGACAGGCCAAGCCCTTGTGAAAGAAATTCTCTGAGGGCAGTCAGGTTGGAGGCTGGAGGAGCTCTGAGAGGGACTGAGAAGCCAAGGCTCCTGTCACCCACTGCCTTTGAGGCTCGGGGCACCAAGACCAGATTCCTAAGTGAGTTATTATCCAGATTTTCACCCCCACCTTGTAGATAGGAGTGCTAATTTGGATTAGCACTGACATTCTAAAGTGCCTAAGCTCTTGGTAAAATGTTTGGTCTTGAGTTACTGGTTGAGAAGAGACTTGGCAGTAGACAGCAGCTAAACTCTTGATCAGTTAGTTGTACAACTGAGCGAGCCCTGTTCTGCCTCTTGGGAAGAGATGATAAGAAGGGGGCTGGCACCTGGTACCTTTCAGCCTTTGGAGGTGCTTGAAAGCTCAAGGTCAGTAGTCCATGGCTAAGCCACCCCACCTCAGCCTTCAGGAGACCCTGCAGCTGGATGCTGTGTGGTCACATTGCACAGGGTCCTCTGGGGAGGAGTGTTAGACACATCTGGGATGCTGGGTACTTGCTATATGGACTCTTGTCTCTCACTGGATCTGATGGTCTGACACCTTTGAAGAGCAACAGGCAGGGGGAGGTATTGGGCGAGTTTTGCTTGCTTGGGTCAAGCTCCCTTAGGTGGCCAGTGTCCGTTGGCAGATTGAGAAGTCTCTGTCCTTGTCTCTTAAATCAGGCCACTCAACTGTTCCAAGCCTTGCTTTAAGTTTGGTGATGAGAGGGTTAGACTCGTTGAGGTATGCATTCATTCACTGATTCAGTTATTCATCAGCCAAGATAATGTTTCCTCTTCTAAGTAAGCCGGGGTTCATTGAGTTCTGGGCTGTGGTAGAGCTGGGACACTTTGAGGCCCCTTGGGTGATGGTGGTGTCACTCCTCTGTCTCAACCGGTGCTTAAGAACCTTGGAACTAACTTGATAGGAATATCCTGGCTCTCTTGGAAGTATTCTCTTCCTCAGAGAAAACTCTGGGACTCTTGTCTCCCTTAAAACGTCACCTTCTGCCTCTTTCTCAGCAGCTCACTCTTCTGCATAGGGCCCTCCCTCTGGGTGGCACAGAAGTTGTACTTGTGTACCAAACTAAATAAAGGTTGATGGCTCCAGTCTATCCAGTGGTGCTGGGTGTCGGGGGGAGACCTGGGTTTCATGAAGATTACAGCCCAGCAGACCCTATGGAGTAAGTCTACTCTGCACACGGGGTCGCCAGAAGCCAGCTGACTCCAGTCAAGGGCTTGGTTGGAGCTGCTAGGAAGAAGGAATGAGTGAAGTGAACGTAGTACCTAATACTTAGCTGTGTTTGGTAATAGTGATGGGGGAGAGCCAGGAATGACTAGAACTTCTGAGTGTCTGCCAGCTTGGGCTTGGGAATGGGGAGATCAAGGCCTAAAGCAGAGACCCTGATTTTTAGACAACTGTTTCTGCAGACTCTGTCTGTGGGTGAGGGATTGAGAGGTGACCCCTTTGACCTTTATAAACCTAGGGTTACCTAGGGTTAGCTGGAGGCCAGTCGGGAAGCTGAAGACTGGCTGCCTACAAGGAAGAGGGCTGGGACGCCAACCTGACCAGGAAGGAAGAGCTGAGGGATAGGAGTTCTGGGGTGTAGCCCAGCTCACTGGGTGGCCCCTTGGGCCAGTCAGCGACGCCTCAGTTTACCTGGCTACATGTTGAACAGGTATACTTTGCTACTTCACAGGGGTGGTAGGGAGGTCTAATTAATGTTTGTAAAGCCCTCTGAGATCAAAGGCGCTGCAGAAGGGCAGAGAACCATTTCATAAAACCGCCTGTGGTTGCCAGCGCGGGGCTGGCGCACCTTTGATGTGAGACGGCTGACACCCTGAATGTGGTCCCTGCTCTGCCCGGAGATGCGGGCTCTTCCTTTGAAACACCTTGCCCCTGGGATTCCACCCGCCAGGGCTCGGAGGGGCGTGGCTGTGGCTAAGTCATCTTGTTTAATATTGGGGTGTCTTCCATTTAGGGATGGCTGGGTGGAGGACAGGGTTAAGAAGCCTATCTCTTGCACATGGTGAGGACCATCAAAGAAGTTTGAGAAAGTGCAGGGTATCCACCTTTAACAAGTAGTTCCATTTCCTGTCTCCCTCCATTGTTTTCTATTTGATGAAGTGTATCCTTTAAAACTGTATATTCCTCTTAGGAATTATACTTTACCCTGATAAAACAAGATTACACAGTCTTCTCTGCCCTGTGCCACCACTCCTCCGCCGTCCCTATCCCTCCTTATATTGTTCAGAAGAGTTCTTAAGAAGTTCCTCCCCCAGTCTGGGAGAGAATTTCTGAGAGTTCCAGTGAGGGAAGAACTGGGATTACAGAGACTCCTGAGAAGTCCAGGGGTTTGTTTGGGACTCCTTTTAAACCACCACCCTCCCTGTAATCAGTAAAAGGAGGCAGCTAAGGCCACTGAAGAACACCAATGGGCCATGAGGTACTGGCCTCAAGGCTGGTCTTTAATTTGGCCCCCACATTGTCCAGTGTACCCAAGTTCCAACAGAAAACTGGTGATACACATTCCAGACACATTCTTGTTGTGTTCTAGGGTGGGTGGACAGGATTCTAGATCCCTGGATTGAGTCATCCTTGAGATTTGCGTACTTTGCTGTACTTAGATTACATCCAACCTAGCATGTTTGCCGCAGAGCTGGGGCACACCTTTCCTGAAGTAGGATTTCTCTGGACTTTATTGGCATTGGCAACAGCGAATGACAAGTTAGTGTGGTTTTGTGTATTTGTATTTCGTGCCTTTACTAATTAGATGTAGCTCGTAGGCTGTGGTTGGTTGGTTGGTTGGTTGGTTAAATCATTCGGAGGGAGGCATGAATGAAGTCAGTTTCTTGAGTGGAATTGAGATGATCTGAATTACCAGTTAGGTCACTGTGTTGAGCACCTGAGGGTGACAAGAAGTTGAAGAGAAGCTTATAGTGTAGCTCGGGCAGATAGGATCTGAATGTGAAAGATCTGTTGTGACAGTAGAACAAAATGCCAAGTGCTGGTGCCAGAAAGATTTTTACAGAAATGGAGGGCAGGGAGCCTCTGGGAAGGCTTCCAGAGATGGGGGGTGGACGAGGCCTCAGAGGAGGGAGAACGCTTTCCCTCCTGGAAATATTCTCTGGTGACCCTGAATGTACAAAATAGAAATGTGATTGAGTTATATATATGCCTTTCGCACCATCCAGGACTTTATGTAGGTGTGTGTTGTGTGTGATTGAGTTGATTTCACCTCATGTCACTGAGAATTGCCCCATAGGATTTCTTGAACTGTGTGGTACAGAGAGCTCCAGGGGCTGGTGGGCTTACAGCCTTTCATTTAGCATCTGAGTGCTTGCTTATCCGTTGCACCACCAAACCTCCTTACACACACCTGTATACCTGGGTGAAAGCCACTGAGCGAGGCCTGAGATGGAAGTAGTTTGCTATATACTTAAACTACGCCAGGCAGCTGAGGGCCAGTCTTAAGAACTGGGAGGTCTATTCACGCAAAGACATTATCTGTGGGAATGACAGCCTGCTGCCTGGTTCAGCCAAGCTCTGCCCATGATTGTTTTCTGGAAAAGCTGTGGGGGAGGAAGACAGCCGCCAGGCTGAGAAAGTAGAGAACCTAAACCCCGCTTTGACCTTGGGAACTACCTGGTTTCCTCAATGGGCCACTTGTAATAAAAAGAGACATTCCAGCCAGTCTGTGATTGAGCCCAACTTGACTAATGATTAACTGGCTGCCTGGAGCCCAGACTGGTGACAAGGTGCTGTGGTCTGTCTTATGATGGGCAGCGAAGCCTGAGAAGACCATTAATAATCAGGGTCCCAGCAGCAAGTCAGCCGCCTGGAATGTGTGGTCACCTTTAATGCTGCCTAGAATGTGCTTCAGAATTAATCTTGGCGTTTTGATTTATTTTTATTTATTTATGCATTTATTTACTCATCTATCTTCTTGAATCCACAGCAGACTGTCCAGATGCTGTGCCTTCCTCCGCTGAAACAGGGGGAACGAATTATCTGGCCCCTGGGGGGCTTTCAGGTAAGACCCTTTTTTCCTGTTTCCTCGACAGTCTTCTGAAGGGAGGCTGGTGGAGTGGAGATGTCTCCCGCCCTCGATGGCTCTAGAATTTGTTTTCACACACCTTGAATTGGATGGACCCTTGGTAACTTGGTGGCCTTCAGCGTGTCCTCCTGCCACGTTTTCTCCACCGAGGCCCTGCTTCTTGGATGAGAGAGCATGGGGGCCAGGTGTGTGCTGCTGTGAAGTGCTTGTCATTGGTATCAGGAAGCTCCTGGCTTGAAGGGCTTCTACTTGGTGACACTGGTGCCCTCATCTCATATGTTTAAACTGTGGGTAGAGGGCCTAGAGGGAGCTGTATCTTCCTTTTGAGGACTTGTGGAAGATAGATCCTAGTCATGAGCTGAAGGTTTAAACTAGATGACTTTTTAATTTCCATGCACATCCATGGCAAGGCTCAGTGGCATTCTGTGGGGACCAGGGTGGCAGGCTCCACTGACAAGAGCTGTAACTGCTCATACCAGGCAGGCGGGGAGTTCAGGGCCCAAGAGGCCATGTATGAGGGCCTGCAATGCCAGTGTGCCTCAGGAGGGTTCTGGGATTGGATGAGGTGGAGGGTACTGAGAGCATCTTTGCTGCTGAAGGACATGAAAGGAGGGAGAGAAACCAGGAGGATTCTGGGATTGGGTGAGAATGGAGGGTATTGAGCATCCTTGCTGCTGACGGACGTGAAAGGAGGGAGAGAAACTTCGAGAAGGAAGCACATTAGAAGGAGAAGTGGGAGGTGGAGAGATCCTTGGTTTTTTCCTAAAGACTGTTTATTTCCACCTGTGCTTTCCTCTCCTCACCTTGATCCCACTGGATTGTCCAAAGATGAGTGGAAGTGCGAGGGATAGTAATCTTTTTTCCTTTTTTCTTCTCATGTCAGATGGGTAGTGTGCCTATGTCGTAACAAGGTTTAGTTGGTGGCACATGTCATATAGAAGTATGAACTCCCAGTCGTCACGTGTATGAACCGGAAAAGGATCTGAGGGATAGTAATCTTTTTTTTTTAAAAAAAAAAATTTTATTTTTGTGTGTGTGAGTGTACCGTCAAATCAGATCTGACTGGTACAGGAGGAGATTGTCCCTCCTTCCCTTGGCAGAGCATCTGGTGGATTCGAACTGTGTGCCTCTGAGATTGTAGTTGCAGCTCCTTGCCACTAGGCCACCAGAGCTCCCCTGGGATAGTAATCTTAAAGAAAAAGGGGGAAAAAGCTTCTTCTCATGAGGTTCTGGTCTTTGGTATTTCTTGCTTTTGGGTGTTGGAATGTAATGATGGCAGCTGAAATGGACACTGTCAGACTGTGGTTAAGGGGACAGTGGTCTTGGGAGTTGACCTGTCTGACTAATCAAGCATTTTTTTGTTGTGTTCATGTGGGGACAGTTCCCTCCCAGGCTCCTCTGCAGGAATTAAGCTTGCTGAGATGTCTTTAGGGAGAGAACATTGTTTGTTTTCATTTCAGTGTGGCATATACTCCGGCTGTTATCTCAGGTTATTGTTGACTCAGACCTTCTGATGTGAACTGAGGGAGGTGGGGGGAAGAGACCTGGGAGGTGGGGGTGAGAGGAGGAGTGGTCCCTGTCGGAGGGTGAATGGGGTCACTCTCTGTGGGTGCATGGCATCTTTTCTGCGAAGGCTGAGTGTGGTTCTGAAGGAGCCAGGGCCAAGGAGAGGAAAGGCAGGCTAACACAGTCAGGATGTTCTTAGAGGGCTGTATTTTTAAAATCCTGAGTGTGCTGGGAGGAGTCCCAGCTTCTCTGAACCACATGAAATAAGCAAGGGAAGTGGTAGCTTTTGAAAGGGGGCTTTTTTTCGGGGAGGTTTGTCTTCTTGATAACATCTTGTCTGTCTCCTCTGGCTGGAGGAAATGACGAACCTGGCCACAGTGACTCCTTTTCACATACCGTCCCCAAGAGCTAAAGTGGGGGGGGGGGGGTGGAGGGAAGGGAGAGGTGAGGTGTGTGGACACGCAGCCCCTCCTGACAAGGATGGGCTTTCTGTTCCCAAAATCTTTTCTAGAGAAAAGCTAGAGGTAGTCCCTTCCCCTCTACCCTCAGGTAATTGCAGCCATTTAGATTAATGAGGGGCCACTAGGAAGGGGTGGTGTGTGTCTGTGAGCATCTCGTGGTTCAACAAAACTGCACAGAAAAAGAGGGGAAGAAAAAAAAAGAAAAAAAAACCCAGCCGCCTCCACATGAAAGAGCATTTGTTTTGAATTTTAGCTCTTGATTTACTAATTCCCAGGGCTTCAAAGTTGGAGCTCGCTCTTCTTTCCGTTTGGAACTGGAGCTGCGGATTAATGACATGCCGAGTGGGGACATGGCAGAAACTGTTAGTTGGGGTGGAAGTGGAGGGGTTACAGGGGCTGGGCGGGCAGGGGCTCTGCACCGAGGAGACCTAGGTCCCCGGGTCTGCACCCTTTGTTCTGAGGGGTTTGGTGGCATGGGTCCAGCGCACAGGGTTTTGCAAACAGAGCCCAGACCGCCACCTCCTTTCCAGAAGTTGATCTTTCTGGGGGAGGGAGGGAGGCAGGCAGGGCGTGTCCGCTTTGAGAGGATGAGGCCAGTGGCCCCAGAGAGGGTTGGGGTGGCTGAAGGAGGCCGGGCAGGCTAAAGGAAGGGGTGAGCAGAGCAAGAGGGTGGGAGCTGGGCTGCCTTGCAGGGGGGCAAGGGGGCCTCAAAGTGGGGCGCAGGGAACAGGCCCGCAGGGTTCCTCCTCTCCCCCCTTGAAATAACTGATCTGAGTGTCTCTTTCACAGGCCCCGTGTGCCGCTTCCTTCCTGTCCTGCTCTGGCTCTAGCCGCCTCATGAATGGGGCTCAGTTTAGGGTGGGAGGAAGGTCGGCGGCAGCGGAGCCAGGCCTTAATTCTTTTGGCAAAGGAAAAAGGGGAGGGAGAGAAGGCGAATGTGAAAATGTGGTGGCTGCGAATGCCCCTCCAGAGATGCTGGGGGACTCCAGGGCTGGCCTTGAAGGGGGCAGGGAGGGCGCGCCTGTGCCCCGAGCAGCCCCCCCTAGAGCGGCTGGGATGGCAACCTCAAGGCAGCCCCCTCCTCGGGCTTGTCTGGCCACACCCCGTCCCTACTTGGTTCCCCGGATGGGAAGACGTTTTTAGAAGGCAGGGATTTGGTTCCAGGAGATTGTACTTGCGTTTCTGACAGCCGGCTTTCGGAGACAGATGGATGGCTCGGTCTCGGCGAGTGCACGTGTGTGCGCTGGTGCGCCTGAGCGCGTGGGTGCGCGTGCCCAGACAGACAGATAGACAGTGCGCAGGCACGCAGTCACGCAGGTGCCACAGCAGGCTCACAGAGGGCGTCCTTTTCGAGGTGATGTCAGAGCAGCCCCCTGGAGGAGGTAGAAGACTTTAGGGGCAGAGGGTGAAATGAGTGGGTTGGATCTGGACTGCCTCTGGCTGTCTTTGGAAAGCCTTGAAACAGGGTCCTTCCTGGGGATAGGCTGGACACAAGTGTCATGGCCCCCACTGAGAAGTCTGCCTTGTGGGAAGCTTCTGGGATTTGGGCCCTGGTGGGAGTAGAATGGATTTCTCTGTATCATTGATTAGATGAAGAGCTATCCCCTTTGCTTCATCCATGGGGGGGGGTCCTCTGCTTTCCTCGTTTTGGTGAGTTGAAAGGCCATCCCCACCCTTAAGAGTTCTAAATTATTTGGCTGCATATTGTGTGCCAGCCAGGAGCTGGCTGGGCAAGAGTGAAGGCCAGCAGCCACTTGCCATTATTTAAACATCAAAAGACTCACCAGCTCGGAATTCAAAGAGGGACTAGGGCGGCAGTGGGACCTAAGTACGTACCGACATCTCAGGGGTTTGAGGAAACCTCAATTCTTGGACTATGTTTGAAGTGACATTGTCCCACCACACCACGTTGGCAGATTCCACTCTGGCTTCTGTCTGGGTTCTCAGGTCTGGGTGTTGGGTGTGGCCTTCGTCACCATCCACTCCAGGAATGTCCTTCCGATTCCTGCTGGCATCAGTGTTAGCTCAGAAGGGAGCCGTCAAAAATACCTCTCTTCCTTCTCAGAGTATGTGGGTCCTGGCTCAGTCCACAGTTAATTTGGGCTCAAACCAAACAGCTTGGGGAAGATTGTTCCATCCTGTTTTAAGGAATGTCACTCAGTGGTATGTTTACAGTTACTTATGGTCTGGCTTGGGTGCTTGATAGTGTCAGTGACCAGGGAGCCTGGGCCTGGGCATCTGTTGTGTCTGTGGGTCCATTGAGACCCCTTCTGCCAGAGGGTTGGCAGTTCATCCACAGGCTAGGGAGACCACATGGCGGACCTGTAGGGGAGCTCCTCACCATCCTGCTCCATCCCTAAGGCCACTGTGACAGCCTCCACCTCACTGTATATCCCAGCGTCATGACTCGGGGCTAAGGCCTGCTCACCTGGAGCACACCCACTGCCTGGTGAGGACCAGCCAGGCACAGCAGCTCAGGCTGTGTGCCCGCCTCATGTGCAGTGCCCCAGGTCATGAACTCACCTGGAGAAAGGCTGACTGGAAAGAATGAGGTAGTCGGGTAGGGGTTAGACCCAGGGTGACAGCATTGGAGCCAATTGGGGCTGCTCTGCCGGCCAGACTAGCTGGGTTGCTGCCTCGCTCACTGTCAGTGGGGCGGAACCGACCTGCCAGCCAGGGCGTGGAGGCACCTGAAGGCCAGGCGCCTCTTGGCTGCACACTAGCACTCTAGCCCCATTAGCGCGCGTGCGCGCACACACACACACACACACACACACACACACACACACACTCTCTCTCTCTCTCACACACACACACACACACACACACACTCTCTCTCTCTCTCACACACACACACACACACACACACACACACACACACACACACACACTCTCTCTCTCTCTCTCACACACACACACACACACACACACATACGTCTTTCTAAACAGCCCCATTTCCCATCTCTACACACACGTACAAATGTCTTTCTAAGCGGAATCAGTCTGGGA